GCTGGCAGAGAAAAGCCCACTTCTGGCCCAGCCGGGGGACCTAAACTTTGTGTCTCCTTCTTGGGTGGCCACCAACGTTTAATCCTAGGATTAAATGGAGAGTCAGAGCTGAAGGAACTATAGTGGTCACTGAGAGATGAATTGACTTGCCCAAGGTCACTCAGGTGGGACCGCTGAGGTTTGAACCAAGGTCCTCTGACTGTAGATCCATTGCTCTTTCTGCCACACCTCGTGGCAATCAATCAACAGGCATTTATTAAGCACCTTCAGTATACTAGACACTGTGCGGGGTGATGGGGACACAAAAGGGAAAATAAAAGAAGCAATATGGATATATACAAGTGTGTACAAAATAAAAACATTGGACAGTGAGGCAGTGTAATGGATAGAGTACCACGCCTGGAGTCTGGAAGGTCCAAGTTCAAATATGACCTCAGACACTTAATAGCTGTTTGACCCTGAACAAGTCACTTAATCTTGTTTGCCTCAGTTTCCTCATCTGTAAAATGAGCTGGAGAAGGAAATGGCAAATTGCTTTAGTATCTCTGCCAAGAGAACCCCAAAGAGTTGGGTGCAACTGAAACGACCAAATGATGAAAGCAAAGTAAAAACAGGTTAGTCAACTACAAGGCCAGTGGCGGAGGTGGGGGTGGGGTGGGGGGGGACTAGCAGTTGGGGATACCAGGAAAGGCTTGATGTATGGACTTGAGCTGATCAGGCAAGAAGAGGGGGGATATATGAGGCAGAGGAGAGGAGGGAGAGCATGCAGGATGACTGGACAAAAGCTTGGAGATGGGAGATGGAGGGAGTGTACAAGGAATGAAGAGGCAGCCTGTCTGGATGGATGGAAGAGTCTGGGAAGGAGAGTGATGTACAATGAGGCTGCTAAGCTGGGCTGGGCCCCAGTTGTGAAGGGCTTTAAAAGCCAAACAGAGGAGTTATATTTGCCTCCAGAGGTGACAGAGAGCTACTGAAGCTTATTTATTTAGAGGAGTGGCCTGCACTTCAGGGAAAATTCTTGTGGCAGCTGTGTGGATGGAGTGGCCTGGGGAGACCAATTAGTAGTCCAGGGAAGAGGTGATAAAGGGTCTAAGCCAGGATGGCAGCGGCGTGAGCAGAGAGAAGGTATCAGAATTCAGTGAGAGAGAGTGAGGAGTCAACGATGAACCTGAAACGGCTATCCTCTCCCCTCACCTTGTGCCTCAAGGCTTTCTAACCCTCCCTTAATATCAAGAATTTTAAAGCTGAAATTCAATTCAGAGCTTCTTTTGTTCAATTTCCCAGAGGAAGAAAATGATCCCAGGGAGGGCCTCCCAGCACCATATGTAAGGGTGATTTCAAACTGTGAGAGGTTTGGGCTGTCTGAATCTACACATGAAAGACCAGGAATGTGGCAGGTAGGAGAGACAATGACCTTGCCTGATGGGCTTAGCTTTGTGTCTCTGCCTTTTCCACATCCACTCCTTTACCTGGAAGAAAAGAAGGTACTTGAAATTGAAAAATTAGGAAAGTATGATTCCTCTGGGCAGTGATTGGGTGAAGAATTCCTACGTGGATGAGGATGAAGAAAAGGCGTAGTCTAGACTTGGGAGATTAAAATCAAGAGGCACAGGGAATGTTCACCCTACATTAGAGCAAGTTTGGCCTTGGAGATCTAAACCCTGTGACCAGGAAGGTCAGACCAAGCCTGAGGATAAGCCTGAGGTTGGAGCCTCTCAGCTGTATATTCTAAAGATTCAAGAGTGGCACCGCTCTTTGTTCTAATGAATACTAGGGATAAAAAAAAAAAAATTCCTGGGAGATGATAGGTCTCTTATCCCTGCAGGACTCCTAAGGGAATAGGATGGCTTACTCCATAAAGCCCAGAAGGGATGTTCCCCCTCGGGAGGGCTGCTGCTGGTCCTATGACTGAGGCAAATGCAGCTGCTTTTTAAAAAGAGAGCCTAGCAGAGCCCACTCTTCTCAATGAAGAAGCAATGATATCAGAGCTGGGAGAGCTGGGAGTAGTGGCCAGCAGTGACTGTGTATCCAGCGGATGAAGTCTATGCAAATGTCAGAGACTAGTACGCAGCAGGCCAAGTGGGAACAACACGATCATGTCACTAGAAGATCCCAGCGGCCCCAGCTAGGGGGGAAACTGCAGCCCTAGCCACGAGGTACCGACATGTATGTGCCTTATCCTTATGTGCAGGCCTTGGCTTTGACTGAATTGGGACTGCTGATCGACTATTACAGGTAATACAGGGGGCTCGTGAGACATGGTTTCAGTGAATGCTGACCTACAGAGAATTTGAACCTACGATAGCCTTTTCTGGGGGCCCTGCCCTATGAGTTGGGGGAGGGGTGCGTTCAGATACTACAACATGTATTCAGAGCTGGTAGGGACCTTAAAGGTCAACTTCTCATTTTACAGATGAGGAAAGTGAGGGCCCAGAAGGTTTAAATGGCTTGTCCATGGTCACTTGGGGCTTGTGCTGGGGCTCAAACTGAAGCCTTTTAACCCCAAATACAGTTGTCTTTCCATTGCACCAGCAGTAAGAAACAGAGACAAGATTAGGACTCAGGTCTTCTGACCTTAAGACCAGTGTTCTTTCTGCTAGAACGTGTTGTTACACCCACGATAATCACTCAAACATTTTTATCCCCCCCAATTTTTTTACTTGTCCTTCCTCCTTCTTGACTAGTGGTGTGGGTAGGAAAATCTAGGTCATTTGGTGGGTGTGAGGACAATTTGGGTTTAGGTAGACCTCTGCTCCCACCCTCCATAATAATCCTTTATATATATATATATATATATATTATTTGTATACCTTATTTTTATAAGCTTTATATAGCTTATTTATGCCTATGTAAACTTTATATAGTTTACTTATACCTTATATTGCTTATTTAGACAAGATATTTTTATATTTATTCCATCTCTACAGCTGCATGGGCAATTGGGCAGGAACCACGATTGCCATGTTCCAGGTCTCCAGGCTGGTTAGTGGTGGAATCAAGACCAGTATCCAGGGGTCCTAACTCCTCACCCCCTTCTCTTTCCACTGTGCCTGGCTGCCTTCTATGGAAGTGAATTCTCCTGAGAAGAGAAGCTTAAGTCAATTCAGCTAAATTCAGCATATGTTGTAAAGGACCTACTGTGTCAGGCATTGGGAGTTATGTAGAGTTTGGACAAGAAAGGTCCTTATCCTCATGGAGTTCAGCAAGATGAGACAGAGGGATTGTGAATAGACGCCTACACTTGGAGTCAGGAAGAAACAGTTCAAATCCTGTCTCTGCTACTTACTAGCTATGGGACCCACAGGCAAGCCAATGATCTTTTATCAGCCTCAGTTTTCTTACTTGTAAAATGGGGATAATAACACCAGGCACTGGCTCCATCAGTCAACAAGCATTATTAAGCACCTGGGACTCGGGCTCTGAGAGGTAAGCTTTCATTTTCCCTTGTTCCAAATCATTCCACTCTCCGCCATGTCACTTCTGCCCAGTTCAGCATGTGCTCAGCCAACAGTCTCCTTTCTAACTCTGTTGTTGTTGTTCAGTCGTTTTCCGTCTGACTCCTCATGACCTCATTTGGGGTTTTCTTGGCAAAGATACTGGAGTGGTTTGCCATTTCCTTCTCCAGCTCATTTTACAGATGAGGAAACAGAGGCAAACTGGGTTAAGTGACTTGCCCAGAGTCACACAGCTAGTAAGTATTTGAGGCCGGATTTGAACAAGTGACTTGCCCAGAGTCACACAGCTAGTAAGTATTTGAGGCCGGATTTGAACTCAGGCTTTCCTGACTCCAGGACTGGTGCTCTATCCATTGTGCCACCTAACTGCCCTCTATGTGTTGTCTTTTCCCATTAGAACTCAAGCACCTTGAGGGCAGGGATTGTCTCAATGGCTTGTACATATTTGGGTCTCAAGTGCTGAGCAAGGTACATGGTACCTACTAAGTAGTATCATTCATTCATTCAATCGTTCATTCATTCATTCATTCACATATTAGGCGCCAGGCCCTATGAGCACTGGGGATACCAAGACAAAAATGAACAAGTTCTGCCCTCAAGGAGCTTCCATTCTGTCAGGGGGCACAAAGTGTAAATACACGAGGTAAATTTGGTGGGAGGAGATCGTTAGCTGCTGGGCAAGAGGGTTGGGGAAGACTTTATGGAAAAGGTGGCACTTGTGGCTCAGACACAGTGAAGTACATAATGTGCTCTGTACACTTTAAAGTTCTAGAAATGCCAGTTAGCAGCAACAGAACCACCGAAGGATGCCACAGGATAAACGGATTACAAAGAGGGAAATAAAATTTTATTTAGGGAAAGATGCTTGTGGGGAAGGGGAGAAAGGCAGTTCAAAACAACTATAGTTATACACATTCACTTCTATAAGATCATATGATTTAGAGTTGGACCTCAGAGCTCATTTTGTCTATATGGGAAACTGAGGCCCAGAGAGATCCGACGATTTGCTCAAGGTCACGCAGGTAGCAAATGACAAAGCCAGGATTTGAACCCAGATCCTCCAACCCTAAACTGGCATACTTTTTTCTTCTTCTTCTTCTTCTTTTTTTTTTTTTTACTGAACTTCAAATTACCAAATTTGCCTCCAAATTATGGCTGGAGAGTTAATAAATTCTTAGTGATGACTTAACCCAACTGCTTCATTTCACAGATGGAAAAACTGAGTCCAGACAATGAAAAGGACTTATCAAAGGACACACAGCAAGTTAATGGCAGAGCGCTGATCCAAACCCAGACCTCCTGGTTTCAAATTCAGCAATATAACACGCTTCCTCCCATCCAGCTCAGGGAGGCTAATAAGGTTTTATAAAGTTTGTAAGTAAAACTCCCCATTAGACTCGTGGAGGATGTTTGAATTTTTGCTTACATCCCCCCAGCCCAACACACATCCACACACAGACACTGGTGACAGATGAGACATTGTTCAGGGTCATGTCTGAAACACTCCCCCTGCCCCATTCCCTTCTTGCCCTGTTCGCTCCTTACCTGGGGGACAGTTACATCTCAACGATGTATCCCGGGGCTCTCGTCGCCTGGTCAAATGAAGTTTCAGTTTCTACAGGAGGGAGGAAAGAAGAGGGAAATCAGCTCCAGATCATAAAGCCAGGCATGTCCTTGTCACAAGGGGTGAGGAGGACATTGACAGGGGAGGAGAAGACTCCAAGAGGGGGAAGCTAGGCTGATTCTGAGTGGAGGACAGATGACTGTTTCTGGATCAAAGCCCCAAATTGAACGGCCTTCAACTTTCAGCCCAGCCCCGGCATGATAGGAAGCAGACCAGTCGGGTCCCCTCTCTTTGGGTTGGTCTTAGAGATGCCAAGCCAGACCATATGACTTGTGAACCAGTTACTGTCTGGCTAAGCCACAGTCTGGTGCCCACCCGATGACATCCTGTCTTGTGTCATTGGCTGTTTTCTGTACCTTCTCTCTGTAAACTGGACAGCAAGGAGTGAGTGGGTGTTTAGGTCCAAGGTCAGCTTTTCATGGGTAGTAGTGACCCAAAGTGGGGTGATTTCAAGGGCATCTGGAAGACTCCCTTCCTCCAACTCATCCCTCCCCCACCTGCCCCCAGATACCAGAAATGCCTTTAACTGAGCTCAAGTCCTCTTATCAAGCAAGCTGAGATGGGGCTGCCATGAAAACAACCCTAGAGGGCAGGGGGTGCAGGGGGAGCCTTCAGTGCTGGTCATGGGCTGGTTGGATTGATTTAAAGCTGGCAAGGACCTGAGAGATAATCTAGTCCAATTTTATGGGTAAGGAAACGGTGCCATAGAGAGGAGGAAGCAACTTGTTTAAGGTCAGAGGCAGAATTTGAACTCAGTTTCCCCACCTGAAAAAAGAGAGGACTTAGACTAGATCTCGGAAGTTTGTTTGTTTTTTTTTCCAACTCCAGATCTTTAGGTCCCATGATTGTTGAATGGAAGCGACTGAGCAAGAGATGTGTCCCTTTCCATAAGCCCAACTGGGCTGGTCAAGGCAGGATTCCTGTTCCCCTTAGCCAAGATTCCAGGTGTCCTCACATAGACAAAACAGAGAAGGACCTCATTGTCAGCCTTTAAAAATCCTTGCATCAATACCAAAGAGAAAATGCCCATTGGCTATTCATTCCACACTGAGAATGCCAGCTCCAAGTTCCTGAGTGTTTTGGGCCAGGCGCCTTTGACGTCAGGCCTGCATCCCTGATGCAATCTGGACTGGACACTCCCCATTGTTACTCATTGGATCCTAGGATATAGAGCTCAAGGAACATTTTATGTCATTTAATCCAACCCCCTCATCTTACAGAGGAGGGAACTGAGGCTCAGAGGGATTAAGGAAACTGCCCAATGTCACCCAGGACTAGAACCTCGGAATGTAATGGAAAGAGCTCTGATTTAATTTGAACTTGGAAGTTGACTTGGAGGCTCAGCTCCAATGCTTCACTAGCTTTGCTACAATGAGCCAATCACTTCATCTCTTTAAGTTGCAGATCTCTTGCCTGGTAATAGACCTTAAGCAGATCACAGGATCAGAGGATTTAAATTAGAAATCAGATTCAGCATTTCAACCCAGATTCTCAGGCTCTTTACTCCCCGTCACATGTGCATTCTATACTCTCCTGACCTACTTGGTGCTCTCTCAACATGGCGCACCATCTCTTGCCTCCATATCTTGGCCCAGGTTGTCCCCCCCCACCCATGCCCAGGCCTGGAATGTTCTACTCCCTCACCTCTCCCTTAGAAGCCCTAACATCCTTCAAGGCTTTTCAAGAGCCGTCCCCTTCATAAGGTCTTCCCTGATTCCCTCCAGTGTTAGTTTCCACACTTTTTCCCTCATCCCAACACGAGTATTTATTTTTATTTATCTATGAACTAAATACAATCTGGGAACCAGAGGTCCAAGCGAGGACACCCCCACCCTACCTCCAATCTTCCACTTTCCCCTTCCTGTCTGGATACTGACCACCCAACCTTACCATTTTGGGAGGGGTCCAAGAGTCCTTTCCCTACTCTGAACCGTGAGCCACTTCCCCCTACCTCAAAGTGGCAGGCTAGGCCCAGGCACCCCCACTTTTGCTTACACTGCTTGAATGAACAGCGAGATACCAACTCTATCCCTTCCGGCAAAGTGGAAGATCATTGGGCCTTGCCATCGGCTCTACCAGCCCTGGGTCTTACCATCTACCCTGTGCTATGCCTTTTAGACACCTGGGCCCACTGTGGCCCATTGGGCTGTTCCATGTGAACTGGAGCTCAACCCTTCCACACATCTCAGGACCTTGGGGGCAGGACTATTTGACTTTTCTATTTGTATTTCCAGTCTTGAGTACATAATAAGTACTTTTAAAATGTCTTTTCACTTATTCATTCATTTAATATGTTGTGTCATCTAGACGCAAACCTTAAAACAACATATAAATGTTAGCTGTCCTCATTATCATTGTCACCCCCATCTCCCAGGAGACCAGTGGCTCCTTGAGGGCAGGGACTGTCTCCAATGCCTAGCATAGCGTCTTGTACGTAATAGCCACTAACTCAGGGTCATCTAGTCCAAATCCTTCATTTTATAGATTAGGATACTGAGGCCTAAAGAGGTTAAGTGATTTTGCCTAAGATGATACAGCAGTAAATGACAGAATCATGATTCAAGCTCGGGAGGCACCAAATTCAGTACCCAAATCAAGCATCTTTCCACTGTACTCTAATGTTTCTCTAACCAATGCTGGACGGATGGATGGGTGGATGGATGGATGGATGGGTGGATGGATGGATGGATGGATGGATGGACTCCAAATACAGTCTTCTTCCAACATGCTGGATCATTTTGTAGGTGGTGAGACTCAGGGGTGGGTACCACTCCTCTGTTCCCGTCCTTCAGAGCTCTGAGCATGACATGGGAAGATGGGATGGCATCCACTATGTGCAGAGACCTAAGCCAAAGTCTGGGTGATGTGACCGAGAGGGAAAAGGCATCAGTGGAGGTCTCGGTGCCATCTTATCCGTGTCTACCCCATTGGTTCAGGTTGAGGAATAGATCCAGGATCAATACAAGGTGTCCGAAAAGTCTTTGTGCTTAGCTTCATAGCTTAGAACTGAACTTTGGGACAGTCTATGTAAGGGAGGATCTGGACTGAAGACCAAGTCTTGTGAGCTCACCAAAGGAAAGATGCTCAAAACTAATACCGTGGGCACCCCAGCTGCCCCACACCTCCCATCTCATTGGTCTAGTACTTTGTTTTGCCTAGACTATTAAAATGGTGATAATCGTTTGGCAACCAGAAGAAGGGGGAGAGAACCCAGGTGTAAACTGTGGCAACTCGGCCTCGATCGAACCTCTCCAGCTCAAGCATTTATAGATGAGGAAGCCAAGGTCCATGAAGACCAAGTGAGGATTTGATGGAACAGGCAGCCGCTCTGTCCTTCTAGCAGGTGTTTGCCTTTCCATGCACAGCCCCTAGCACACAGTGGGTGCTTCATAGAAGCTTGTTGAGCGCACTTGAACTTAATTGAATTAGCTGCTCCTGCAGGCCCCTGTGGGGGCTCATTTATTTCAGCCTCCCACTTCTGCCATGTCCCCAAGATCCTGGCCCACAAATGGGCCATGCCATCTCAGCCATGCCCTTGGGGGAGGGCACAAGTAATTGATAAATGCTTGAGTGCTATGGATGTCACACCTCTACCCTCCCCTCTACCCCGCCGCCATGGCAGGTGGGTACACCAGACAACAAATGTGACAAGGATTTGGAGGAGGGAGAGAAGCATGTGGACAAGGATGGGTGAGGAGGAAGTGGGATCACAGACCTGGAAGGGGCTCTAGGGACCATCCAACCTCCTATTTTTATAATTAAGGAAACTAATTGACTTGCCAAAGCTGCACAGGTACTGTGTTACAGGTAGGATTTGAACCCAGGTCCTGTGACTTTCACAGTACTGCACCATCTCCTATGAGAACCTTGAAGGACCCAGAGGTATGTGGAGGGCATTCTGGAAGAGGGTTGTGAACAAAGGCACAGTAGCAGGAAAGGGGAAGATGTGTACAGGATGGAATTTTTCATGAATTAAAACCAGGAACATTGTATCCAGTACAGTGCTTGGCACACAGTAGGTGCTTTAAAAGGGAATGGCAGGAGATGGATGGAATTGCAATGAATAGGGATCTATCAGCCAGCTTTGGCCCTCAGGATGTCCACCCCCCAATGGAGCCATACCTAGGAGATGGGAACATGCCCCAAGCACTGTAAGATTCATCCAAGGCACAGGCAGATTTCTCAGCCACAAGCCCCCAAGCATGGGTTGTTCTGCCTGGCCAAATCAAAGCAAAGGAAATTGGGAAATCCAAGCCCACGACTCAGAATAATTGGGTTAGGCTGGGAGGAGGAAGTGAGAAGAGGAGGTGGTCACTGAAAATGGACCTACCCAACACAAGGCTCTCCTTACACAGCAAAGTTGGCCCAGGATCAGAGAAACACAACTTGACAAGAGAAGAGGCCAGAAGAATGAGCTGAAAGCCTTCCAGTGCACCCTCCTGCTTCCAAGTGAGCTTTGCCAGATGGGAGGATGATCTCCAGTCTTCTGAAGAGGGAGATGGGGTGGTGTGGTTGGTGTAGACAATTTGGAATGTGGATTGGGCACAAGAATTATTCAATCTGGAAACAGTTGAAGGTCTGGAGGAAGCTGGGGTGGGACAGTGGGGCAGGGGAATGAAAGATCAGATACATTAGAGCTGGCCAGATCTCTAACAGAGATCACCTAGTCCAGTTGACTCCTTTTACAGATAAGGAAACTGAGTCTTGGAAGATTAAGTGACTTGGCCAGTAGTGGAGCCAGGATACCCTTCCCAATCCCCCAACTCAAAGTCTCCTGGTCTCTCTGCTACCACACATGGTCTGCTTCTCAAAGCTCCCCCTCAAAGGGTCAGCAACTGTACTGTGATTCTGAGGAGAAAACATGATTTGGGATTTTGTGGTTTATTTTGGACAGGCTTGTGAATTCCTAGATGCAAGTATAAGTCACCTGGCCACACCCACAGGTAGAGCCAAGGAAACATGATGAAGTGACTTCCTGCTAGTCCAGGAGA